ATTAATTCGTATATTTCTCCGCACCAGCACGGCTTTCGTAAAAGGCGATCTACAGTCACCAACTTGTTAGAGTTTACCTGTCATGTTTTCAAGGCTTTTTCTAGTGGCTCTCGCACAGATGTTATTTACACTGATTTAAGCAACGCATTTGATATGGTTAACCATAGACTACTTATCTTTAAACTCCAAGCCTCTGGTTTCCCACCCTACTTAGTGAAATGGATAAGCTCTTATCTGCACAATAGATCCTTCAGGGTTTTGTTTAACTCCATCACCTCGGATGAATTCCCCGTTATGTCTGGCGTACCTCAAGGAAGTTACTTAGGTCCTATTTTATTTAGTTTATACATTAACGATCTCCCATCAGTGGTTAATTCCAGCCAGATCTTAATGTATGCTGATGATGTGAAACTGTTTTCTTCCTTCTCTGTTGAATCGCAATCACATCAGCTTCAAGGTGATTTGGATAATTTTGTTGCATGGTGCTCTTTGAATCTTCTGAAACTAAATCTGAGTAAATGTAAGAAGCTTTCATTCTCAAGAAAAAAGTCATTCATTAATCAGTATTTCGTAGATTCGCATAAGTTGGAGGACGTCGATTCAATTACAGATTTAGGCGTTCTATTTGACGTTAAAACGTAACCTATGGTCATTGAGCTCTCGATTAGCAAAGCTAGGTCCGCGCTTGGTTTTATAAAAGGGTGGTCCAAAGAGCTTGATGATCCCTACATTACGAAAAGGCTGTACATGTGTTTGGTTAGACCCATACTCGAGTATGCCTCAGTTGTGTGGTCTCCTTCATATAGGTGCTACGTAGATTCAATTGAATCTGTTCAAAAGCAATTCTTGCTGTTTGCCCTTAGAAATTTGGGTTGGGATCCGATTGCCTCTCTCCCTCCGTATGAAAATAGGTTGCTTCTGCTGTCTCTACCGTCTCTCGAGAAACGTAGATTTGTTCTTGGCGTTTCCTTTCTAATTAAAGTAATAAATGGTGCTATTGACTCGCCTTCATTACTTGGTGAAATAAACTTTAATGTCCCTAACCGCTTCTCTAGGCACTTTATCTTGGTTAAGCTTAATCAGTGTAAATTTAATTATGAGCTATTCAATCCGCTCAGAGTCGTTTGCAAGAACCTAAATGACGTCTACCACTCATTCTCGTTATCGGACTCTTTAAAGTCCATTAAAACAACATTGCTTAATACGCGCGATTTACCTATGTCGTATTAAAACTAGCTTTTATCCTTAAAAAGTCGTTACGTTTCGAAAGTGAATTATTGTTAATTATTATCGGTTGCCAGGGTTATGCATGTTTGCGATGGCTTAGGGGTTCATTTGCAATTTGGTCCTGTACCAGTTGTAAGTGTGCTCCTATGCTGATAGTATACATGCTTTTTTTTCTTTTTTCTTTTTTTTTTCTTCTTATTTGTTTTATTATGCTTATACTCAATTTTATTGTTAATTAATATAAGTTTTGCATTAAGAGCCAATTTAACTCGACTGTTATTTGTTTAGTTGAGTTTCTAGTATAAGTGGAATAAAATAAATAAATAAATAAATCATTAAAGAGCAAAACACTTCTGTGCAAGAATCCTATAAGGTCTCTAAAAGAAATTTGAAGAGAGAAATCGCTTCTGATTAAGTGAGCCGTCAAAATATAAAAAGGAGAGAAAAAAAATATACCCAATATCAAATTTGTTTATCGTGAGAAAAAAGCGTTTTTTTTTTATCAAAAAGCAACCGAACTCCTTCTTGAGCAAAAAAAAAGAAAAAAAAAAGAAACAATACAATAAAAATTACAAACAAAATTTTGTAAAACAAAAGAGACAAGGCTTCAGGTTTTTTTCTTTGACGACTGGCTTATACCTCCAACACCATACACAGCTGTACACCTGCAGGCCAATCAGTTCAATACACATATATATTCAATACACATATATATGTATATATGGAGCTCTGCCTGGCTCCATTCTATGAGTGTTTGCTTGCGCTCATCACCAAAGTAAATCCAGCGTTTTATGCGGTTGCGGTGGAGGCAAACGCCAGCAGTTTCAACTTCAAGCAGCGGATAGCAGCAGCCACCACCACAGAGGCCGACAGCACTGCAGCAGCGAATAGGACGTCAGCGGGAAGGGACAACGCCGTAGTAACCCAGGTATTTGCCTTGTTTTTTTTTGTTTTGTGTGCCCCGAGTTCCTAGTAAAACGCCATGAGTGGCTAAGGCCTAACACGCATTGCGGCAGCGCGATGTTAGGAGTGCACGCGTAGAAGAGAGAGGGGGGGTGGGGAGGGGGGGGGGGGTAAGGAGAACGTCAGAGAGATACAGACGAACGCACGCTAGACAGACGTACGATAGGTTGCCGACGAAAACATCCTTTTTTTTCCTTTTCTTTCTTTATTCTTTGTCAAGCGGCTCTGAGAGCTAAACCCCGTCAACTAATTCGCTCCACCGGCCAAAGAGGGGCTAGAATCGTGACACTTGGAACAGTTGCAACGATGCTGTCTACATCCTTCCTGTCTGTCTATCGAAAACTACTGAACCAACTGAATTAAATTTCTAGGGCAATTTGAAAGAAGATTATTATTAATACGTTTGCTTTGTGTGTTGGTAACCAAAAATTATTTCTTAACTTCATCTTATTTTTAATTTCTTTTTTTTAGTCTTGCTATCTTTGAAGCATTTAGGAGTAAATATGGCCACACTAAGAATATGGAATTATAATTTATTTAACTTCTTGGAAATTCTTTTATTAAATATGTAAAGAATTCCACACCAGCCAGATTCTATATCGCATGCTTTCCTCTTATGTATTGGGTCAAATGTTGATAAAGCCGCGAAAAGTAGCTGATTTCCAAGAAAACTTAACTTGGCTCCTGATTTGTAGGTAGTAACGAAAGATGCAGGATGCCGAGCAACTGATAATAAGCGAGTGTTTCTACGAGCGCACTGCTTACACGCTTATCACGCTTTTAATTTTACGATGTTCTTTTCTTTATCATAATAAGCAATGGTTTTATTAAATATTTTAAAACATTTTCCAATTTTCCTTTTAAACCTATTCTTTACTTAAACTGAATTCTTACATGTGTGCTCAACAATTAATTCAATAATTTTTTTTGTTTTCCTTTTTACGTAAGTACTTTTAGCAAATAAATAAAAAAAACTTGTGAATATTGTATTTTTACCGTCTACTGATATATTAGTTTGGGGAAAAAGAAATCCATTATTTTTATATGAACTTCAGGACTTTATTTAACATGCTTCAGATTGTCCGATTTGGGTCAAATATGCACCGTTTTGTGTTATGATTTGTTGCCATTTTAAAGGTAACTTCAAAATGCCTGTCTCATAGAAGTCCTGGTCTCTATTTCCACAAAACTCTAGTAGTCGATTTTCACAATCCTCCCTAGATGCCAATTTTTTATCATTAAAGAAATTTTGCAATGCAAGAAAAACATGATAATCGCTTGGTGTCAAGTCCGGACTGTATGGCGGATGCATTAAAACTTCCCAACCAAGCTCCCGAACTTTCTGGCGAGTCACTGTAGATGTGTGTGGCCTAACTTTGTCCTGGTGGAACACGACAACCCTCCTGTTGGCCAATTCTGGCCGTTTCTGGTCAATCGCTATCTTCAAACGGCCCAGAGATCAGAATTTAGCGTTTGGCCATATGGAAGCAACTCATAATAAATAATCCCCTTCCAGTCCCACCGAATGCATAGTCAAACCTTCCTGGCCGTTTGAGATGCTTCACCGCTCTTTGACCACGATCGTTTTCGCACAGGGTTATCGTATGTGATCCATTTCTCATCTCCAGTCACCATTCGTTTAAGAAATTGGTCTATCTCATTCCGTTTGGCCAAGGTTTCGCAGATGGAAATTCGATCCATCATGTTTTTTTCTGTTAATTGGTGTGGCACCCAAACATCGAATCCAGCCATTGAATCCAGCTTTGTGTAAATGGTTTAAAACTGTTTTATGGTCGATTTTTAGCTCCTGGGCGATTTTACGACTGCTAACATGCCGGTCAACTTCGATCATTTCTCCGATTTTATCGACATTTTCGACGACCGGCCTACCTGCGCGAGGTGCATCTTTAACATCAAAAATTCCTGAACCGAATCTACGAAACCAAAATTGCACATAATTAGCTGTTACAGTATCGGAACCATAAACACCATTCACAATTTTAGCCGCCTGGCTTGCATTTTCGCCTTTGTCAAAGAAAATCTGTAAAATATACCGAACTTTCTCTTTGTCCACTTCCATTTTTAACACGCTGTAACTCACAACTGAATGCACCAAACAAAAAACAGCAAAAAAATTTTTTTTACTGCGAAATGTACAGTATGTAAATGTACACTATCGGAAATTGTTTGATCGATACTTTACGAGAAATCTATCAGTGCAGCCATCTACCGAAAAAATAATGGATTTCTTTTTCCCCAAATTAATATTTAGAGCTTTCCACAATTTTTAAAAAACCACATTCTCACATTTTTTCTTTTTAAAAAACCAAAAAACTACGTTAAAACACTCTCTCGCTGTCCACCCCCTGCGCGAAGTTTAAAAGCCGAAGATTTGATGCTATTGAAAAATGTATTTGGTAAGTAGAACCAAAAGTATACACCACTGTATGCGGCCTGTTGTAAGGGACGGTATTAATATTAACAACATGCGAAGAGAATAAAGACAAATAAATTGACGTTGCAAAAAACATACAAAATAAGCATCTTATGTAGTTATAATGCAAATTGATCCATAGTAGTAACTTGACATAAAAATTAATCGTAGGCAAGTTCGGAAATAATGACATATAATAAGATCTTTGAAATGAACATTTATTTTTAAGTTGGATCAAAACAGTTATCGTTCCCACAAAACTAGGGTACAATCTTTAACATTTCATCACGCAAATGAATGAAGAATTATGTAAACAAACTTATATTTAAAGCACGACTCAAACCGATTTTTTTTTTGTGTCCCATCAATACTTAACTGGAAAGCTTTTCCTTCTATTAATCCTTGTATCAATACCTGTATCGTTGTTTGGCATAAAATTGGTCAGGATTGACACCACAAACTCAAGACATAAATACGTCCTTATCGCAGCGATTTGCCCCATCTCATAAACATTGAACATCATCTGCGTACAAAACGTAACTAAAAATGAAGTCAAATAACAAGTATCTGTCGTGGACGCGATAAATGTCTGTAATTCCATCAATGAGCTTCTAAATCTTCAGCAGTTCTACTTAATTTCAGCGTCTTGTTGAACATATCATTTCGTGCAAACTCAATTTGGATATGTTATTATTAAAGTTCAAATTCAGTATTCAACTAACATCGTAAAGATGAGGAATATTTGAACAAATCTTTAATAAAACAAATTGGTACACTAGTGTATGCAAGTGCACCTGTTTGTTATTCAAATTTTCCCATTGGCTCGGGAGCTAGAGATGAAATTTTTTATATGAATATAAATCCATTCTGTATACTTTCATTAAGTTTGGCTTATTTTAAAGCACAATTAACACAAATAATGGTGTTTGGGTTCTTTTACGTAGTACGCACATGTTTGCATTTGCATACAAAATGTTCTACTAACCTAAAGCTTGGCCTAAGAATTGAATTGAAATGATTTCTCAAGATTCTTTTTCTCTTGAGCTTCTATAGCCGACAATAGCGCCAACGGCACGTTCATGGTTTGGTCATCAATAAGAACAATATCAAATACGTTCATATATCTTTCCAGGTTTTCCTCAACCTATGAAAAGCGTTAGAGATGAAACTAGATTCTTTTATTATACACTTTTGCTTACGTGATCAAATAGGAATCCAATTTTAATAATGTTCGAAGAAGCTGGAACGCCCCTAGCCATGTCAGCATCCCCGATTGAATCTCCCATGACTATGATATGATCTCGCTCATGCACTAGTTCATAATAATCACTGCCTTCCAAAACTGTTTCGTTTTTATTAAATGTATGAATCATGGGCTCTTGAAAACCATCCAGCAAGCAATTTCTGTATCGCAAGAAATTGGATATCACCTTAACATTCGGCAGTAACACTTTAGCATGCTTAAGGACTGATATCACAGAATTTCCCAGACCAGCAGAAAAAATCAATACAGGTATGTTGAGGCGATAAAGAGTGTGGAATAATACGTTGGACTGGTCACGTAGAGAGTCTTTATACTTAAAGGCAACCTCATCAATTTCATTTTCATCAAATGGGAATCCTCTAGAATAAAAAGATGTATTTCATTCTGAAGCAAAATAAATGTATTTTCAACTTACACTAACAATTCTCCAGATTTTGTCCACCACTCGACCATATATTTAGTTTTTTCTTGAATTGGTAAGTGAGGATCCACTTCGATGGGACGATACTTGTGATATAATCTTTCAGTTTCTTCTACGTAACCTTTCGGCAAAGATTTACAAGAATTGAAAATTCCAAAACTACTTAAAACAGGGCTGCCGTCTGCAGTGCGCTGCTTTGTAATCGTATAATCAAAGTCGGACACCAATTGTAAACGTTTAGTTCCTCCGTTTATGAGTGCATTAAGAATATGTTCAACACGATCCACGTCCTTAATTTTGCAATTTGCATCACAAAGTGGTTTTACTTCCTCCAGACGTATAAAAAACTCATTAGTCTGTTTTTGAAGCTGCGTTTTGAGAGGGGTGTTCATTATTCTATCGCGTTAAACGCTCTTCGCTAAGGAGGCAATTAGTGGATAACAGCGATTGCTCTGTATTGCTTTTGACGTTTTCCTTGGTCTTTTCAGAAAGAAAGTCTTTAATAAAATAATTTGCAATTAAATTATGTTAATTCTGCGAGTGATATACACATTTAGATAATTGCACCTACATCCGTTATTCTCCGCTAAACATAAAGTTTAATGTTGCTTGTTAGTGTCTTATCCCAGTAATAATTCCATGATTTTATGCAAACAGATTGTTAAATGAAATGTCAGTGAACTTTTCAAGATGGTTAATGATTTAATACGTTGTCAGATGAGAGTGTTCATTCCAAATGTTCCAAATGAGGAAAAGGTGTAAGAAATTTTAATAGAAAGAAACACATTACAATATTTTTTGCGACGATAGTGCCTCCATTAGGAATGGATTTATTCATATTATCAGGATTTATTACATATATCGGGGTTGGTATTAGTTTTTATACGAAAAAATTAAGAATATGAATAATGCGTGTATGTGTACGATCCAGATCCAGATTGCTAGGTCGAGAAATTCGGTATTTTCAAAGTATTAAAACCGTCAACAAGTAACTATTGTAGTGTGGTATACTGTGGCATATGCCAAGGAGCAAAAAGAAACGAAAAAAACAGTAAAGGAAGATAAGTGCCTTTCTGAAAATGCTAACTTGTCTTTTATCGTAGAAGACATGACATATACAAAAGGGGCCAAATCGCAATAAACGCCGCATTCCACATGTAAAAATTTAGTCTCGATAATTAGCATTAGATAATAAGCAACAGCAAAACGTCACTAAAACACAACCATTTTATAAATGTTAAGATGAGTTAATCTCATGCTCTAGGCTGAGTTTGTCTAGCTAGATTTGGACTAAAAGTCTTTCCGGAAACAGCCGAGCAGTTTGATGTCGCAAAGTTTGGAAATTTATCCATTTACATCACGATCCTGCTTCTTCTTACACAATAAAACTTTATACCATCAAGAATTTGCAATCTGGCGTCATTTCCAATAACTTTTTTCTGGAATATTTGCAGCTTTTTAATATAGGTCAATGCACGCTGGACCGGCATATAATCAATTGAGAAACTTCTCATAGAAGGGTCTTGTTTACGGTACTCAATTTAGAATTCCTTTTTATTAATAGCTATAGCATTTTCCTGGTAAATTTATGTTCTGTGAGGGCCTTTCGGCCCATACCTCTGGGGCTGGGGTAGCTCAGCGGCCCAAGAAACAAAAGAAATTTATAATACACTTGGTCGGTTGTAAGAATTCACACTTTATTCATTATCTCAAAATCGCACTTCCACTAGCGAGCCGTCGCTCTCAAGAACATTCACTCAACTCTCCAACTGAACTAACTATTCTACCCTACCCTATTCTTAATCTATTTTTATTCTCTAACCTATTCTCTACCTTAAACTAGCACTCTCCCCCCACCAGAGACTGAGAAACCGTGAGGCCAAAACGAGAGACGACTTTGACTCCTCACAGTTAATTTTTGGTATGGTTTACTGTTTCGGAACCAAGTTAATGCGGTGAGCAAATACCGATATTATTAACGTATAAAATCAGAACAAATAGTCAAATACAAAGTTGCATCCAGAATACATCCTTGCGCAACCCCTGCCTATATGAATGGTCAGATCAGAGAATTTATCTGAGCTAGAAGCGTAGAAATATCTTTCAGACGAAAGGCTTAATTAATAAATCAATTTAACCTTGAGCATTGAAAAACCAATAGATATCATAAATGTGAAAGCCATCATATCAGACAAGATCGAAGGCTCTTCCAACGTCAAAGAAAAGTAGGCCAATTTGCTTAGTCTCAAATTTGTCCTTAGTGCCCTTAATGTGTGTTAATTGGTTCGTAACGTTCGGCTGACCTCTATAAACAAATATTTCATTTGGAATAATATTTTTCTCCGAAATGGATTTTAATGATCTGGCTTTAATGAGCCTTTCAAAGATCTTGCTTAAGGAGCTCATGGAATTAATAGTTTATAACATGTGATTTTATAAAATCATTGCGAGGAAAAAAGACTTTTGCGGTCGTTTGATTGTTTGTAGGTAAGTTAGAAGTAGACATCATTATGCATACGATTAGGTTTACCATCGTAGCGTTAAATCTGAATGGACACTCTTTTCTCTTTGGTTTAGCTTATAAATTTTAAGGCAGTTTTAACACTTTTCTTACAATACGTAATACAAATTTAAAATTGGTCACTTATGACATATATATGTGCGCATGTACGTAAACGCAAACCGCAACAGCAACACCGGAATTGCTTATTTGCAAATATTTTTCAGGACCAGTAAATGTAAAAGAGCAAGTGATATAATTATTAACAAGTTTATTTAAATATGTAAATTAAAGTAAAGAAATACAACGTCAAAGAAGCGGAATTTCTAATAGATTCCTTAAGCGAATATTTGCGTGAAAAAGCCTTACTGTCACATGTACATATTGTCTTACTTTTGAAATCTAAACCACACCCACGACCACACGCGATCTTGCCCAACGGTAAGTAACCGCTTGCGTCCCTCGTCCAAATCCATAAAAACAATCGAATGTTTCGCATCATGAAATGAGGCTAATGAAGGACGTCTACGAAACAATTAAATAACAAAAATTAATTTGAAGAATAATTCAACATACTCAACAGTTTGCAATTGATTGTAACAAGGATTACAGCAACGCACATCAAATTCAAATCCCATAATAGGAATATTTACACGATTACTGGAACAATTGTCACAAATAGCTTTTCCACAGTTTCTACAATGATGTTGACGAATACCTTTAAAAAAATAAAAACATAAATCAAAAATACAATATCAAATAATCTAAATTTAAACATATTCATTTACCGATTTGCTTTTGATCCATCATGGAACGAAAATTCCAAAAAAATGGCCGAGAGCACAATTGACAATTATTTGATTCGACCCAAGGTGGTACCTCCTTTCTCATAGCATTCATTTCCCAAAACACCACCACACTGTCTTTACCGCAGCTAATCAATTGCTGCGTGTGATTTGCGTAAGCCAACGCCGATACTTTGTTACTAGGTAGAAAATAGAAAAAGCAAGTAATAAGGTGATTTTAATGTTGTATTGAAATGAAAAATTCTCACTTATGTCCTTGTAGTTCATATATAGTCCCACGTTTGCCACCTACATCCCCGCTTATACAATAACCGACAAATCACACGAACCACTGAATAGCAATTGTGGTCCTTCAACCCATTTTAAGCAACGAACACTTGCTGTATTATCCAAGTGCAAAGTGATTAAATCAAGCCAAATATCTAATGTGGTGCAAATTACCAGTATGTCCTTTGAATGTTGTTATCAACTGAACGCCCTGCAAATCGCATTTCAACATCGTAATTTGCCCAGCATGATCACCAACGAAGGCGTACTTAGCTAATGAATCAAATCTGAAGCAAAAGAGAATAGTATCAACTCTTTTTTAAGAGACTATGAAAATACTTACTGCAATGCTGTGCAAGACGTTTCGAAATTATATACCCCGATACGACGCGCTGTTTCAGCACAATGATATCCAAAGGTTTTGTCTTTGCTGCACGAAAGAATCCAGTTATGTGCCTGAGAAAAGACTACATTTACGATGCGAGCCTGATGTGCTAAATAGTCACGCACAAATGATAGGCGATTGCAATCTTCCGAGAGTATATATTGTGTTATGGTGCCATTTTCTTGGCCTATGTACAGTTGACGGGTATCTTGGACATAACCGATACATGTACATCCTGATGGCATATACTGACAAATACTTGGCCAATACTGTCCGGAATCGCGTTTTAACCATATTCTCACAGTTCTGTAAAATGCGGTAAATTTGAATAATTGTTCAGGTATTTGTATAAAAATTTGGCCATGTACGAGAATAAGCGTATAAAACTCTCCTACATGTCCAAATTTTTATACAAATACTTGAACAATTATTGAGAATCATTTTCAGTTTTATACGCTTACTCTCCTACATGGCCAAATTTTTATACAAATACTTGAACAATTATTCAACAAATGTAAACAAATTGCGGTATATTAAACACAATTCTTTCGAAAATTTAATTAAATTAAGCTTATAGTGAAAGTGCAGAGTTTACGGATGTTGATCTCATCACTTACTTATCGTCTGATACGCTGATTACTCCATTTTCGCCGGGTATTAATATGGCGGCATTGATATCATCACCGCTCCCTTCTAGTTTGCTTAAAAATTCAGGCTTTTTGGTGCTAAAGCGATTATTGTTTCGTTGGGCTGGCTTTATTTCGGCAGCCATTCTTATCACAAAATCTTTCTATTATCAGTTTCTCTCTTCCAGTGCTATACGGATTCGTTAGCTTTAATGGGTGTGAATTGATGACAACTACACACAGAGATATTTTTTAAATCACATATAAATAACAATAAAAGTTTAAGAATTTTAACAACAAAACAAGCCTCAGCACGAGATAAATTCACCAACGTCAACTAATATACGATTATCTAAAAGAATTATCTTCCATCGATATATATATTTACTTAATTGTTAAAACTTCTTACCTTAACCATTCGCATATTTTACGCAAAGCAAATATCATTCGTCTTATGAACTCATAGGGTGATATATCCAAGCACACCGAAGAGTTTATGTTATTGACTTCCTTAATAAGTTTCATTAATCTTATTTCGATACATTCGTTTTTATACTACTCAAACGATTCGTTAAATATAAAGTGTCTTAAGCATGCTTTGTATTTTCGCTCCTGATCATTGTCTGGTACGTTTATAGCAACAGTCTGTGTCCGGCTGGTAAGCTTAGACACGACGATATTAAAGCATCTCTCCTTTCCGAAGCAATGCAAATGGATTTATTCCTAATATCATCTCTGCCTGATGGTGCCATAACGCACATACGCATTCACTGGATGCTCGAATCAATCAAATTTATACAATTTAATCAAAGTGGTCAAGCACAATATAATTTTGAAGTATTAGATCGTTTCTTGGATGATTTGGATGAGATGCATTTGATGCCTGTCTTTGAGTTTATGGGAAATTTATCGAATTTTTGTGCAAAAAAACCAGCTCATAATTACTTTCTGTGGGAGGGTTTGAGCTATCAAGAAGTCAAACGTTTTCACAGTATGTAAAAACTATGTCGATTAATCGACTTTTTAATAGTTATGTCATATTCATGCAGATCGCTTTGGAATAGAAAATCTTTTAAATTATCGATTTGAAACATGGAACGAACCAGATTTACTTGCTTATAACAAATTGAACTTTACCCTTGAAGGTTAGTGAATAAAGAAATTAAGAATTATTTCCTTCGCTCACAAAGACATAAAATTTGATAGATTATTTAGAATACGCTTTCACTTTACGACGTGGTTTAGATAAAGCTGGACAAAATCTACGCTTTGTTCTTCGTGGTCCAGCGGGTCTTTTCAAAAGTCCTCAAAACCATCGCTTCTCCGTTTGCTTGTGGCTAATATATAGATATAAATGATGGCGAAATGAGATTTGTGCAGATATTGTGAAACGGCATTTGCAAAATAAAGGGGCCCTGGAATCATTAAATGCTTCTAACATGGACAGTCCAATGAGTTTATATATTAGAAATGGAAAATGCGATTTGCTCTTTGTTTAAATAATGCAAAGTATATTTGCAACAAAAATTGTTAAAAGTTAAAAAAAAAACAAAAATGATTCAAAAATCTTACACACCTTAAATTAATTTTATTTAAACTATGACATACATTCGGCAAGAAATATAGAATGCGCAGAGTTCCGATCTTTTCCTTATCCATGTATTGATCACAGAAGTTAATAGCAGAATCGATTCAATTATCCGATTCTGTTCGCTCGTTAAACCACGAGTGCGAACTCTGAAAATTTATTTAGATAGATAAATTTAATCTCAAACAAGTCAACAATATTGTAAGCTACGACCCCCTTAAATATTCCACATCAATTCACATAATGACTTCACTGATCCAATCTGAATGCGACAGCTGTTCATAAACAAAACAAATTTTTCGAATTATTGAAAATATACACGCTTATTCTCGTATGTGGCCAAATTTTTATACGCTTATTCTCACATTTTTCGCTTATTCTCATATGTGGCCAAATTTTTATACAAATACTATACAATTATTAAAAATTGTAAACAAATGTGAACGCTTATTCTCCAGATTTCATCATTATATACTCACACAGTTACAATCTAATTAACTTGCTAACAGCGTCACGTTTGAAAGCCTGCAGTACTTCGTGTATTTGAAACCCAGTAGCCTCTTGAGTAACCATCGATTTTAACCCTTACTCACATCTTCCAGATCATTGATCAACATTTTCGCAAACACCTTATGTATCACAATAGCATGGCATGTATGGCTTTGCCACGTTTAATAATACGTAAAGTGGATAAACAAATGGCTTTGTTAGAGGCAGACGATCCCGTTTCCGAATTGCATAACTGTGTCATTTATATGAAGGATACCGGTCGAATGTATTTATGTTTATCACAGGAAAAAATAATACAATTTCAAGCGACACCCTGCCCTAAAGGACCCATTCAGGAAATGATTAATAAGTGTATTCTAAGGGACAATGAAGGCAATTTTGTTTTTACATGCACCGTCTTTTTTTAGTTCACCCGTCACACTAGTGCCTATAGTTAATTCATTAAATTTGAATGGTGGTGGAGATGTGGCCATGTTGGAGTAAGTGGTGACAATTTTACTCCTCATTTACACGTTTGGTTCGGCGATGTGGAAGCCGAAACTACGTATCGCTGTACGGACGTTCTCGTGTGTGTGGTCCCTGAGATATCGCAATTTCGGGGGGAATGGTTATGGGTATGACATGACCATTTAGCTTATATAAAGAGTTTTTTTTTCACTTTTGGTTTTTCTATATCATATATTTTCTTTAGGTGCGTCAACCTACCCAGGGAGTAGACTGCCTTATAAGATTTAGTCTGCTAAAAAGTTGCAACGAAATAATGATTAATAGTGCCGATGAAATAAATTTAAAAACTGTTAATGTATATGTAAATATTTTAATGGTTTGTCAACACTCGCCTGCAGTTGCCAAAACACAATAAAAAAAATGTGAATAGAATGAATATGAAAAATTTTAATTTGAATAGTTGCTTACCCATATTTCATGACATCAATGCATATTTTTGAAAAAAAAACTTGCAAAAATTCTGTAGAGTAGATTACAGTTTTTAGGTTTCAAAATAATTAAAATTAAATTAATTAATAATTACTTGCGAGGATTTTTAAGGGTTTTTGTAATAACACATGTGTTCTATTTTCCCGAAACGAATCGTCTGTTTAAGAAGCTTACTCCTTAAGCTAAGTATCTATTGCCAGAAAACATTGTACCAATTGCAACGAAACGACCACCATCACGAAGGCTTCTTCCACACAATCGCAAAGTACAAGAATGTGCAGAGCCTGATTTTTACGATTTTCCGCACCACCCTTGTGGTACCGTAATAGGCGCGTTGCTAATTGTTTTAAATGGCTGGCTCCCCAGTAGGCCTATACCATTATATACATAATTATAAATTACAATATTATTCACAATAATAATAATAATACATAATACATAATAATACATAATAATACAAATAATACATAGTAATACGTAATAAATAAAAAGCCCCGCTAATACATTCATATATATAAAGAAATAAAAATTACTGATATGCCGGTGTGCTGACAACTGCAAAAGAAAAATATTGTGATTAATAAATTTTATGTACAAAGATGATCACAAACTTACCATTGGCCTACGGAAGTATCCCATTCTGCTGAAACGATGAGTGGAGGGTCAGTAGGAAGCATGCTCTTTGATCTAAAATAAAACAAAAAGAAATAAATAAATTACACATAATAAGAAGTAACGATAAATGCAAACTTACCTTTAGCATGCAGCGAATTTTCATCGATATGAGGCGTCGACCGGATAGCTGGACTTGATTTTGCGGGCGGACCTAAAGCACGACTTCAAGATGATGATGCATTTTCAACTGTTTCTTGCGCCCAGTTTTTGCCAGTCAGTAGCAAATGTATGATGAAGCCTAGGTGGTTAGTGCGGTGACTTCTTCCATTGGGGCAGGAGCCTGTTTTCTTGAAGAAGTCAAACTGCTTCACAATCGTCGCTTGGGTGCGCTTGCCGATGTTGCGTTAAACCATGTGGAAGTTCATGATTGTCAAGTAGATGCTCGTGGCTTTCGAAAAAACTATAAACAAATTACGCCTCGGAAATTCGGGTTCCAGATCCTCATTAGCCAGGATTTCTTTGTGTTCCGGGATATTGGCGACTAGTTTTCCATCAATTTCGGAGCATGCTTCTTCCTTCCTCAGCGTTAAGTCGCTTAGGCATTCTTGGCATCTTAGCTGCTCACGGATGTATTGGGTTATTCCATAGCCTGTGAGCAGCCTGAAGTATTTAGTCTCGTTTATAGTTAGCCGTTTGCCAGCTACTTTAAATGGTTCCCCATTCAGGTCGTATGGCATAAACTCATCTTCGGCCTGGGCTGGTGTCGTGTAATCCAGCTTTTCATTCAGCTGATAAACGCCAACAGTTCTGGACCCGCTTCTCCAAAATTCTAATTGTCGATTGGTTAAGCGGATGCCCAGCTTCATTACATCTTCCACCGGTCTTGTTCTCGTTCTCCTGCCTGGCGCCATCTTGCAGAAAAATCTTTCCAAGAGGTCTTGGCTTACCGTGTAGACGTGTATAGTTATGCCAGGGTAAGCCCAGTAGGCCATCCATTATCTCCACGAAGTTGTTGATGGTGTCCAAGGTGGGCTTAGTCACCTCAGCCGTCTCGAAGTGAACTATTAAACAAGTTTTCACTTCCGCCAGCACCGCTTTCTGTCCTTGCCATTGGGCGCTGCTTATCTTGCCCTTGTGCATGACTTTGCATAATTTAGTCAGACCAGCGAATGCTTCGTATGTTCGCATACCAGTTGCAGAACACACCAATTTCACTGTAGCACCATAATGTATATAACCTTCACGAACATTAAAATCTTCCGATTCTGATTCATTATCGTCCAGTAAATGAATGGTAAAAGTTGAAGACGCATGAAAATGACCATTTTCAACATGCAGGTAACGTGTGTATACCGTTTGTGAGTATTGTGTTTTTGGGTTTACTCCATCCAGCAACAGATTGTTGGACCTATTTAGCACATCATCTTCAATGAAACTTTTTTCTTTACACGAGAAAATATCCACTTTCGTTGGCATTGGTATAGCAGTGACATCTTCTGCTTCGTCATTGGAACTTGCGGAAATCGTTTCGTTCTTGTGTTGCATTAGTTCTACTTGACAGTTTGGGTAATTTGATTTTCGTCGGCTGCTGCTTTTTTATCGAATAGAATATTCAAGTAATCCAGTTGTTGCCAAAATTTGGAAGACATTGTTTGATCAAATCAGTCCGCTAAAAAAAGAGCATTTGTCTGCATTCGTTGATAACTTGTCGAATTGAAAAAGCGACTCTGAATTTGGTGACAATTGAGAGGGATTGAAAAAATGATTTCGAATTAGGTTCCATTTGAGAGTCTGAATTTGGTGACAAAATTATCGCCTGCACTGCAACAGAAGCATTATTCAGCGTTCATTACTCTTTAAGGTTCTGCATGCGGTAGTTTTTGCGGTACGTTAGCTGGGTATGCTGATGAATTGCTGGCTAAAGCAGGCTTTTGAGAATTTTGACTTTCGCAACGTTCAATTTCGCATTATATATTTTGGCTACTACTAAATACACTTCTCTTAGTATGGGCTCCAATATGGGAGATATACCTTTTAGCCTGGCTTCCTTTTTACTGTCACTATCTGTTCGAGTTTTCGTACTTGTTTGTCGTACTTGAATATATTGAGGTAGACCAGGTAACGTTATATTGCTGCGATACTGAAATTGGTGTTGCTGGGCTATCCGTAGAATGCGCGTGCGAATTTCTATCGTTATAACATACAAAAATCGAATGCCACGCCTATAAAAATTGTATAAAACTATTCAGGAG